AACTTAAAAAATCTACGTGTTGAAGTTGAGGATACAAAACTTGTGAAACAAACAATATTATTCTCAAAACATGAATTATGATCAAAATTAATTTATTTCAATTCCTCTTTGTTATGGAATAAAAAGTTTTAACTTTCAGATAGTAATAAAAGAAAATCAAATTTTATTTATTTTCCAGATATTACAGCCAGGCTATGGAATTTGAGCATTTTTTTTAAGTCTTGGAATTTAATAAATTTTTTTCAAGATTTCACAAAAATAACCTAGACAAATCCCAATTTGAATAAAAAAAGGAGCGGAAATCAGAGCTAACAATAAGGTTCATCAGTCAAAAAATTGTATACTTTTTTTGTATTGATTGTTTAAATTGTCATATTTATCATAAATTTGGCCGAACTCACTCCTACTTAATTGAACAAACAGAATATTTTTTTAATGATTTACGAAGAAAATATTTTAATTTTAAGAAGAGTCAAATTACATTACGTTTTGGTGGTTTTGCAAAGAGTGATAAGTAAATTGTGAAATTTCTCGCTTCCTCTCCGGAGTGAGATGACGCGTCATGATTATAAATGAATTATTATCCAGCGCGGGGCGTCAGATTAAAGCCTTTAAAGCGTCTCTCGTCGAGACTGAGTGAGTTCACTCGCTCGGATTGCCGCCTCTTGAAATTCATTGAGATGACAGCAGATTCCCGCGCGACAATCCACTCGTTCAAGATCCGCGGCAGATAGGCTGTGTGTTTTTCCTCCATCTCTTTCTCGGCAGCTGCAACCCTCTCTTTTTAACCCTTTCTTTCCCAAGGCGTTCTTCTTCTCCGTCGTCTCGCCTCTTTCTCTCGCCTTCGCCCGCGGCTTAAATCAAAAAGCTCCCACTCACTGCCTGGATACACATCTCCACATTAGCATACAGCCGCATCTTTTATTAATTAGCTTAAAGATTCATCATCCAATTTAACCCCTTGGCAGGCAGGCAGCCAGCCTTTCATATCGCGGCGCACGCCGGAATCCGTTATCAGCAGCCCATTATGCAAATTTTAAGTAACGTGAGAATTTTTCCATCGAGAGAGACGCGCGTCTTTCCAACAAGGGACTAATTCAGTAATTCTGCACTGCTGAGTTTTTAAATTTATGATCACTTTCTTTATAACTCTTTGAAATTATGAAGAGATAAAATTTTGAATAATAAATATGAAACTTCCTGTAAAAATTATGCCTATTAAAAGTTCAACGTTCTCATCTACTTAAATTTATTTTTATCGGCTACAAATTGTACGCAAGAAACGACATCCCCCAGGAGATTTTTTCCATTTAAATTAATTTTACTCATGTGAATGATGTGCTTTGCTTGCAAATTTATAAATTTAATCTCATTTTCTTTCTTAATTTGAACAATTTTCCTGAGTGAGACAAACTATCTTTTCAAATAACATTATTTTGTGTTTGTGTAAAACAAAGAAGTACATTATTATTCTTAATTATTTAAAATAATAATATAATTAAATAAAAATTTAAAGTAATATATTTATTATAGAAAATAATAAAGAACAAAGCGGTGTAATAAGAATTGTATTTTAATATTTTGCAACAAAACTTTTTCATAAGATTGCCTAATAATAATGGAAAAATCTTGAAAAGTTTTTACCTGCTTAATTTAATTGCCTCTTAATTTTATTAAAAAATTTGAAACTAAATAATTAAATAAGCAAAAAAAAAAATAAATAAATAAAAATACAAAGAGCTAAAAGCTAGTTAAATAGATTCATCACACAAATTCTGCTTCCAATACTCTTAAAAATTACCATCTTCTTTAATTTCTTCGAAATCTAACATCTCAAGTAAATCTTGTAATTAGGAAATCACGCTATTATAATTTAAGGAAAATAAGTAATTCTCTATGTTTCAGCAACGTGTGCTCCTGAAAATTTAAATTCCATATTCATAAAGTAACAAAATTTACAATCCTTATATTCCCTTTCAAAGAAAAGTAAACTTGATACGTTATTCCTATTCAAAAATATGCACGTGTGTGCGAATCCATTCGATTTTGCCGTATTTCCCTTATCCACACATGCCGGCGGTTTTGGAATTAAACGGCGACGCACCATTACCATAATTGCTTATATGAAAATGAACAAACACGGGCTGCTCGGGTTGGCAGGCAGGAAAGGCACATAATACATCCGAGCGTGTCACACACGTAACAATGATTTACAACTTTGATTGAAGCCTTTATGTAATCACGGGCGAAGCTGCGCTGCCGAGTGAGAGCCGCAGACTTACTTAATGCCGCCAGTTAACTCGCTGTGTGTGTGTCTATTGCAAACTCGTCGCAGCCAACGCGCGCGTGGTGTGTCATTAATTTCGCAGCGTATTGTGTCACCGACGACTAGGACAATAATTGCCAGCCTAAGCTGCTACGCTCGCCAGCCGACGTTTAGCCGATCGCATTAACTTAGGCGCATCAACTCTCTATAAAAGAAACTAAAACTGAATTAAATTAATATTGTGAATGCAGTGAAATTTTGAACGTTTAAATTATTTAAATATATGTGAATTTTTCATAGAATTTTTAATTACTGATCTTTAGTACAATTCGCAATCGAAATATCCTGTTTTTTTTTGGAAAAATGCAGTAGTAAATAAGTTTGATTTACATAAATTAATTTAAATATTTTTACCCCTTTTTATTTTATCAAAATGATATAATGAAGAACAAAAAAAAAAGACGCGAAGAAAGGCTTTTTAGAATCTTCTTTGCTTATAGAAAATAAAAAAATTTAACTTGTACTTTCTCAAGCAAAAATTTTAGCCTTAAAGCCACATTTTTTTATAGAGAAAATGGATTTACAAAATTACCCATGTATGCACAGGTGTAATCTCATTTTAAAATCACGATTTTTTTATTCTTTATTAGAATACAATCATTCCATTATATCTATTACGTACTTTATTAAATTCACTCATTATTTGGCAATTCTAACAAAAGATTTAAAAAAAAAAAAATAATAACTATGATTATATAGCAAACAAAATTTTAATTTAATTGCAAAATCCCCAATTTACATATTTATTGGAAATCATTATTTTATATCTATTTACGCATTATTTCACTTTATTTTAAAATTTTATTAAGTCCCTAATGGTACATTGTTTGCACTCTAGATGACATGTTCAATGATTCAGTAAAAACATAAAAATTAAAAATATTAAAAAATTTTGACCACGATCAGAATATATAATTAAATTTAAAAATAAATAAATAAAATTTACAAAAAATTAATTTATTTGGATTTCGATCAATCTTGCTAAACCATAAATTCCCTTTGATATAAATTAGAAGATTTTATATATTTCCATATATGAAAAAAACACTTCATCTTTTTTTTTTATTTATTTGCAACTGAGCGAAATTCGGTCGAATGGATGCGGAATGGTCGGTTTCGCGTGTTTGCAGTTTGCGAGTCGGATGAGCGTCGATATTTAGCACCGCCAGCCAGCAGAGCATTATTTGCTTTTGCAGTGCAAGCATTGGCTAATCAAGCGTGATGCTCTCTCTGTGTTCAATTCGCTTGTAATTAATTTCCATCATGACACTATTAAGTTACATCAATCACACAGAGGCGCGACTGGTGCCTCTCGTCGAATTCCGTCCGCTCTCCCTGTATTTGCGCGCGTCTCTTTTAATTAGATATTATTTACGTTGGCGCAATATTTGTTTTTCCGCCGGCCGGCGCCAGGTACTTTTGCAAAGAGCGGAGAGGCTCTAGAGATAAACGCGCGCTAATCCAATTAATTACTTAAATAACAGTTATTTCCATCAAATCCCCAGCAGGCGGAATTATTCATTTATTTTGCAGCGAGATGAGTAATGACGTCGATGGTAATTGACAGCACGCGCCTGCGTGTCCTGATTAAAAGTTTTCCTGTGTTCTTTTTTCGCCAGCCTCTGCCCTCACCCTCCGGTTATTGGCTATACCTGTTTTATTTTTATTTTTTACATATAAAATTGCACCAAAGCGGATGCTTTTAACTGTTGCCCTTTTCCTAATGTAAGTGCCATTTAAATATTGTGTTGTAATTCAAATGTTAACAGAAAGAATAATTTGACTGTAAAATTCTGGGGATTGAAATAATAATAAAAAAAATTGTACATCATAAAATCTGAAAAACGTTTGTGAGAATGATTTTTCGGTTTGTTGCAAATAAACGGCAGTTGCGGCAGATGATTTCTTTTTTACTGCAACTGTTAATTTGTTTCAAATATTGGTGACTTTTCTAAGAAAAGTTTTCTTCCAACAATTTGTTTCTTTTTATTTAAGACCTCCTTATTGACATAGTCTAAACAAGTCTATTCAACAATGTTTTATTCAATTTCCAATAAAATTGTTTATATTGTTGTAAGGACTTGATTTGAGTATGTCAATAAGGAGTCCTTAACAAATATTCACATAATTATTGTAATCGCAGTGGCCAGTTGAAAAATTAAAATATAAATTAGATTAAAGATTAAGTTTAATGTTAACATTATTACGAAGCTAGGATGTTTTTTATACTGAAGTTATGCAATCTTTTCATATTTTTACATCAATTAACTCTCACGTAAAAATATAAGGTACAAACTTAAATATTGCGTCAAAAAATCACGAGTTCGTCAAAGGTGAACATGGCCTGTGATCTACGATTTCCCGATTTTCCATCCTTTTGCATCCACAAATTTGCTTTTCTTTCAGATTTTATATGCATTTTGTAGAGATCTAATATTTTTTTCAATTAACGTTAATCTGGATTCTGGATCACAAATGATTAGAGTTTTTCAACTACAAATATCCATTTAATTTAAAATTAATTAGTTAACGATTTTACTTGGCATTTTATGTTCAAGGAAATAATCAATATCGGATACAGATTGCTATGAGTAAAAAAAGTTTAAGTAATAACTTAGACTTTTTCAAAGTCTATCACCATTGTTACATAAAGTCGAGATAATGAGTTAAGAGTTATACAGAGTACAGAGTTAAGATTAATTCATACAGAATAACAAGACTTCTTGCAGTCATCTGCTAGTCATACTTTACAATTGTCAGTGTGCATGCACTATCTATCAGTACTATCAATACGAGAGAAAAATGACCTGTCAACTGATGGACTGCATAGGGACACCCTTACCCAACTTCAGCCAAAACCTCGGATTTGTCCTCATCGGTTTATTCTCGGTAACTTATTATTTCACTCCAGTCCGCGCGTACGTGACAAAATTTAAATTAATTTGGTCCTCATCTCTAGATTGGAGCACTGGCTAGTTCAACTTTTGCGTCAATTATTTTGATAAACGTTGTTAAACTGGATTATTTCTACTCTCACCAAGTAAACTAAAATAAATTAATTTTCAACACTATTAAACCTCTCGAATTATAAGACCAGTATTGGAGCAATAATTTTGGTCACTGCGGGATGTTTGTTCATGTTTGTTTCACTTCTTGGCTATTGCGGTTTGAAAAAAATGACTATTTGGATGATAAAGGCGGTTAGTATATTTTTACATATTTTATGAAATCATAACTAAAGCCTTAGTTTTGTTTTATATTTCTTAGTACGCCACGCTTCTGTTTCTGATTATTACTCTTCAACTGGCTGGAAGCATTTGCTCCTTCGCCTTCAAAGAATACTTCTCAACTGTAGTTCTGGCAAAAATGAACGCAGCAGCAAAGAATTATTTTGTTCATGGAGTTGATAATGGCGATTTGCGAGCCACAGTTGCTTGGGACGAAATGCAAATCAATGTAAGTTTTTTTTATTCACAATATTAATTAATAATTATTATTTATTTTCAATGAATTTACATCTCAAGAGGCTTAAATTTCATCAAATATTTGTTGAATACACCTTAAAATTGTTTAAAACATCCAAATGTGAATTATCAAAAATTTATAAAAGTTTACTTTCCTAAAAATAATTGCAAATATAAAGACTTCTATTATTTAAAACGTTTTATAGTTAATTTGTTCATTTTTTTTTTAATCAAAATTTCTGCAGCAGCAGTGCAACACTTTAACAAAATTAAAGGACAACTACAGTCTTTGTAATACTGATATATAAATTGTGGGGGAAAAACTTTCAGAAATAATATAATAAAAAATACAAACATATTGATTTTAGTACCACTGCTGCGGAACTAGTTCGTACTTAGATTGGTCAACGCTGAGACCTGAGATGAAAGGCTACCCCGACTCTTGTAAATGCAAGGTCAATGAAAAGGATTGCGGGGACGATGGTTTCTACCATGAGGGATGTTATACAATTTTACGATCTTTCTTGACCACCATGGTAAATGCAGCTGCATGTTTTTCGCTCATAACTGCAGTTATACAGGTATGAAAAACAACCTGTTTTTACACTTCAATCTCGACATTGATTATAAAAAATTTTCAGTTCATATGGCTCAATTTCTTCATGAATGAGGCTCAAGGCACTGAATACATAAGAATCAATGATTGAGTGTAGCTGAAGAAATCAAGAACTGATTCAGCAGGCAGCCAGAAGCGCTTCTTCCTCTTTATTTGCATTTTAAGCAGGATCAATAACACACACCTTTATTTAAACATGAGAACCTTAAAAAGGTGTATAATTTTCAATTTTTAAGGGTTGACTTTTGAAAAAAACATTACAATTTTTATAGCTTGCAGCTTTTATAAGTTAACAGTCTCAAATAATTGTTCAGATTATTCTGATCTTAAAACAAATTTTTGAAATATTTTTCAATTTTGGGGAAATTTTTAAGTAAGTTGAACATGAAAAGGATTTTATAGTATTATCTTAACATACGGTTTATATTTTGCGTATTTTGTTGCATCAGAAAAATATTTTTTGAGGTTGCCACTATCATTGTCAGTTTTATATAATTATAGTTTTCTTATTTCATGCTTTCTACTTGTGCACAAAAGTCAGTAAAAAATAGTATCAATACTTTTTGACGGTTGACTCTTTTTATTATGTACCTTTGTGCCAATGAATAAAACTAGTAAATTTCTTAAGGCTAATGTTTTTTTTCTTTTTAAAACAAAGTGCTCCCCCAAGACAAGGCTGTGGGAATTTGAATTTTTTAATGATCTAAAAATCGGCTTTAAATCTTCCATTTGAGACTCGCTGTTTGAGTTTAAAAAAATCTATACTTGAATTAAATTCCGATTAAGCTGTAATTCAAAATGATTTATTTAGATTGACTTCTGAGAACTTTCAGTTTGTGAATTAGCAGCAAAACCGCAGAATAGGGTGACCTGCTCGGCCAATGCAAATGACAGAGGCACACGGAAGTTGTTGCAGCTCGGTGGAATTTGCAAAATAAGTCTGGGCCTGGCAAAGCCTGTCTCGAAGGCAAGTTGCATTAAAGATGAGGCGGAACCGCAGAAAGACGAGCCATGTGCTAATGAGGCCAGTTTAACTCTGGTGTCCGCCGGCCGGACGAGAGCTGATTATTCCATGCATGCATGAGCCGGCTGGTCACGCTATCTCCTTCTTCTTCTTTGCCGCACAACAACCCTGGCCGGCATTCAACGCCAAATGGCTTTCGGTCACTCAAAGGAGCCGAATTCCAGCCGCAGAATTTCAGAGCACAACAAAATGTATTCTAATGTGTGCAGTGGAAAAGGACGAGTTTCTCTCTCGTGACCTCTGCCCACCAATGCTACTTTGCAACTCCCGCTATCTATGCCTTTAACGTTCAACAACCTCAAAATAATTCATTATTCACATTGCTGGACGGTAGAGTTGCTTGTGATGAAAGCGTGCAATGTTTTAGTTTCTAGTTTGCGAGACCATTAAAGCGTGCCCCTTCAAAAGGTTTCAGTTTGATCCGATCTGTTAAAAAAAATATTTTCTCATAGATTAATTCATTTAAGATTTTGATGATTTTGATTAAATATAATTTCATTGATAGGAATTTTTCCCGTATTTTGAAATAAATTAATATGAATTATTGCCAATTTGGCTCTCAGATTGCAGATTCCTGACTAGAAGATAAAAAATTTGAAGAATTAACACATTTAAATTAAATATTTAAATTCGTCCATCATCCATCATTAGATTTGAGCTATTTACAAAATATATAGTTTATGCAACATGTCAAACAGCTATGCGTGGCAAGTTGCATACCAATAGAGGGAGAGCTAACAATACCTGTGAGCATTTTTTTTACACAAAAGATTTACATTCAAAATAATTATGTAATTGATTTAAAGAAATTAAAATTCAAAATGAAATGAAGGCATTGCTAGTTGATATTATTAGTTTTATTAAAAGGAAAAATTTGTTGCCACTTTTTAAAAAAAGAAAAAAAAAAACAAGTACAAAAAAAGATTTTTTTACTCCACATTAAACATGTGCTATTGTCTTTATTTAACCATATAAATGATGATATTTTTAAAAAAAGTTCAAAATAACTTTCAGGTCAGCTTTAAAGTGGTCATTTGGAGTGGTCTCTTAGAAAGGAACACGCCACTTCACATCTCTCTTTAAATCGTTTGCCGTTCATTTTTTGGCACTTTTTGAGGCTCGAAAGGGAAGCGGGCCGACGAGAGAGCGAGCATCGTCTTGAGCACACATCGAGAAGGCGAAAGACTAAAGGAGGAAAAAAATTTTGCGAGTAGTGGCCACCTGTTGTCGCGCAGCCTCGTTCGCTCCCGCCCGCCGAGCATTATTTTTGCCTGGCCTCAACTTCCTTCGGCGAAGAGGGCGGCACGGCAGGGATTGAATGAAAAATGTGGGAGGCTGATTACTTATTCCACTGTGTTGAGCGCGCGGCAACTTTGAAGTTAAACACGGCTGACGGAGGAACAACGAGGGTGCTAATGAAATGAAAAAGCAGCAGTCTATAAGAATAAGTGGCGCCGCCTCCTCTAACTCGGAGAGACCCTCTTATGTAAAAGAGGGCGACTTTATACTCTCTTGATAATATACATACCCCTGCCATTATGCATGTATCAGAGAATGTGTATGTGTATGTGTGCGAGGAAAGACAAACTTTATCAAGCAAAGTACAACATTCTGCAGCCATAACTTTTCACCGCTCGCTCGCTCGTTCTCTCTCCTCCGTTCGTGTAAAATCCCTTTTCTTGCATGTAATAATAATAATGCCACCGCCGCCGCATACCTTTGTGTAACTACGTCAATGGATATTACCAGCCCCGAGCGAGCACCTTCTCGCGATAAAAGGTTGCCTGCGATGGAACGCTCCGAGAAAAATCACCGCTCCTGCACTTGATACTTGCCGACGTGAGCGCTAATCGCGTTTCCACTTGCTGACGTTAATTACGTTATTTTGCGAAACAACGCCGCCGCGCCGAGATGCTATTTGAAAAGTTGTGCCGTCAACCATGTTGCAACCAAATTCACGGTTGTCAAAAACATCATCAGCAAAATTGGAAAATTTAATTATTGAAAATTATTAACAAGAAATTTATCGTAAATTAAAAAAAAAATAAGATACGTTCTTATGGAGACTTTTCTAATTTAAATTTAAATATTCGTCCAAAAATTGTTTGATATTATTTCATGCTCATTTCCTACAAGACATGAGAAATTTGATTGAAAATTAGTTTATTACACGAGATTGGGGTTAATCTATGCCAATTGAGATTTTATGTCAAAAAATTTTCCTTTCTTTCAAACAAATTGTTTTTCAATTGAACAATGAATATAAATAATAAGAAGAAGAACTGCAGAGAAATTGAGATTTTTGTTTTTCGTCAAGATTTTAGTGACCTGGCGTGCCTGAAGAAACTAAAAAGCGTAAAAACGCGGCCGTCGATTGTAGTTAGTTTTGCTATAAAAGGTTGGGTGTCCTATAGTTTTAATTATGTCAACGTTGCTAAATTTTGTTTTAGGGTTTAAGAAAAAATCTACTTATTTCAACCCAATCATTTTCTGACAGTAATTGTAAACCTTTTTCTATAAAATTTCCCTCAAAACAAACATTTTCTAAAAATTAGAAGACGAGCAACGCCTTAAAAAGCTTTTTTTTTTATAAATTATGTTTTTTTAATGTTGTTAAAAATTGCAAAATATTCATCTTTGTTGAACTTTAATTCAATAACACACTTTAATTATTTCCATAAGATGTTCTGATTTTTTGCAGTAATTTTATATTGTACCAAATATCAAGACTCATATAATTCAAAGTGACAACGTTTAAGCATATTATTTATGTACGTACCAAAATTTTTTTTTAATAAAATAAAATTTAGTTACATAGTTTTTCTTTTGGCTGTGACTTCTTGAGAAATGTGATTAATAAAATAACTAGTAACATATAAGTTGATTTAATTAAAACCTCTTACTGAGATTTCTAGTTGCTAATTAAGTTGTCCGTCTTTCAGTGGCGCAAGTACGTACACTAACTAATTTAGTTTATGACGTCTGCCGGCAGAGCTCTCTTTGAAATGCTCTTATTGGAATAGGCGAACGGAGCGAGAGAGGCAAGTGGCAATCAATGGAGTTTTTAATTAGGTAATTAGCGCGCGCGCCGCGATTTGCCGTCACTACTTGCTTTCTCGGAGAGTGAAGAGCGAGGCAGTAAATACACACAGTGCACCCACACATCGACGGCACAAACAGTCTCTTGATTAGTCTGCTTGTGCTGATTGTGAGCGAAAGAGAGTGAAGCATGCGGGGTGCGTGCATGTTATGAATATGGAGATCTCATTATAAGGCAATAATTGGCATCAAAGTTCTTTTCACAGATGCTAATTACTGCTGCTTGTTACGGCTGGGCTGAATAGGCCCTCTCAGTCAGACAGTCAGCAGCAGCAGCTAATTCATTACTTACTTATTCAATCAAGATATTCTCGCAGCGACGACGACGACGAGAGAGACGAATTTACAGCTCGGATTTGCTGTCAAATGCAGAAACCCTTTCAAATTAAACTCAATTTACTGTAAATTTCTAAAGATAAGTAGCTCTTTTCAATTTCCCGCCCCTTACACTCACTTCACATGACAGCTCGTTTTTCAATAAAATCCAAAACGCTCTGGCTCCGCCGACGTGATAATTCAGATTTAATTAGTTCCGCAGATTGTCTGTCTCTCGCTGTTTGCGCAAATATATAATATTAATTTGTCGCCGTCGGCTGCTGCAACATTTGCATGAGAGGCAAAGTGCAGAGAGAGACAAAGAGCGGTAACACATGGCCCAACATAGACCTAGCCAATATCAGGCCGCGTGGCAACATCCTGCCCTGTAATAATTATACCGCCAATCTGGCAGTGTCATTTTCGTCGCGGTCATTTCTCATCCGGCTCCATCCGAGCCGTGATTTGTTCCAATCTGAACGTTCAAATAAACAACGAAAGTTGAGGAATAATGTTGCGTTTTTTTTTGCCCTGCCAGAAAATTAATCGCCGTGATTGATTGTAAACAAACAATTTCGCGATCCAATTTGCGCGCACGCGAGAGGCCCGTCCAGTCAATCAACTTTCAATCCAGACCCTTTAGCAATTCGTAAATCACTTTCTCGCGCGTCAAGTGATTACAGGCTGTGTCCTTTTGACGTCCACACAAAGGCAATTAATCTGTAAATTGAGTAAGGCCGTGTTTATTTTTTCAATTTTCAGAGGGAAAATACAAATTGGACAAATTGGAGAAATTTGGTATTGCAAGTATTGATCTAAATCTTTAAAACGAACAACATTTTATTTATTTTAAAATTAAAGTATTGCTATGCGATTTTATTTATTTTTTAATTATTATAAAAGTGATAAAAATACCTAATTTAAATTATCTATTTTTTTTATTTTTCCAATTTAATTATAATACAAATGTTTAATTTTATCTTCTCAAATCTGGCTGTATTTTTTTTCTTAATTTTAAAATTTTATATATTTTATTTTGTTAGCAACGTAATCAATAATCGCAATTTAGAATACATCTCAACTGCTACAAAAGTATTGGTGACCTTCTTTTTTAGTTCATTGTGTTAAGAGAGGAGAGATATAATAATAGATCGTTCAATAATTGTCTTGCGGAAAAGTCA